CGACAAAATGCAACTACTGCACAGTCCGGACCTCCCATCTAACAGCGAGGTAGACTCATTCACCTTTTACACCAGCGATCGGAAGTTCGTCGACATGACTGTGAGTAACGTGATTGTTCCTCAAATTCGTCTCTTCAAAACTAGCTACCAATCTCTCGTAAGTGGCTACCTGCAATTTCCAATGTTCTTGAATTTAAAATTCACCTTCCTACGTATCGATTGTAAATTTTAATCAACACCGCTGCCGAACAGGTGAAACATTTCCAAATATCGTTTAATCCATTCCTATCAGGTATTTTTCTCAGACAAATCCACGATTTGGAACTGTACCCCCGGTAAGGGTAACTGAACGCTTCTACCGAATGGCCAAATGGATTGTTCCTCCACAGTGCGCGTACATGCCGCAATGGTCCGGAATATAATCCCTCCGTTTGCACCTCATCATACTAATAGAGTGGTGATTCTTTAATTTTCAGTTTATGCGGAAGGTGTGTGTTTGTTAAGATCGTCACATTCAGCCGTTTGCATAGGTTATACGAACTGATTTTAAAATCTTTTAAAATTAGGCATTACTTACTGTACCATTAGACGGAAAAATTCTTCCCAAAAGCAGATCTGTCTTTACCTTGTTTCTCCATGTTTCATGTTGGACTGCTGGTCCACGTCTTCTGTGGTTCGTCTGCCACACGAAGAACTCACTGGCTGGAGTAAATAGTTTTGCCTTGCCAGGTTTTTAACAGGTCCGTCCAATCTCTTTTTCTTGATCGCCACATCTACCAACGCCAGCTCTACCCAGAAAATAATCGAGTTATTTCTTCCATGGTTCTTCCATGTAACCGTGATTATGTGTCGAAGCCAACGCTGCTGTACGCAGTTCATTTGTCGTTCTTGTTCGTTCGCTAGATCACCTGTCTCCGTGCCTTACAACGGCACAGACCTAACACCCTCCAGATACAGTCGAATGTTCATTGGAAGAGTGACTCCTTTCTCAACCCAAATGTTGGACAGGTTTCGAAAAGCACTCGAAGCTAAAGCGATTCTCCTATTTAACTCTGGCTGGACAGCACCATCGCTGGAGATAATGGAGCTAAGATAATTTAATTGGTCAACCTCCTGAAGAGCTTCGCTTCTCTGCTTCATTTCCAGATCAGCTGTTCCTCATAACTTTTCGCTACGGGATGTTAAAGAAGAGGCAGACTTTCGCGTCGTTTTACATACGGAAGCCGTACTACTGACCAGGACAATGCCAATTGCATACTTCAGGTGAGCAATACCTCTAGCCAGATATCTTGAGCTGCATCTTCGGTATAAAACTATACCATCATCTTAGCCATTGCCAGCAATGTCTCGCAGAGAAAAGTCGGTAACAATTTTGAGTAGCAAATCCGAAAGAACATGGCTTAGCGAACTCAACAATTCATAAGTAACACCGCAGGTAGCGCTCCTGTGAGTTTCACAACACACATGGTTCCTGTACATATCTTTTCCAAAACGGAAACGACGTGTTCAGGTATCCCACAGCATTTAAAGATTTTCTCCATGGTCCGCCGGTGTGGTTAAACAAAATGCAGCTTAAACATTAGGAAAACTAGCACATCAAGGCAACTTGGGTCATCAGCGTTGCTCAGTGATTTTAAGTGGAATGAAAACTAGGTCGCGGTAGAGGTACCTCATCCGGCGTGATTTGATCGAAGCATCTGGTCAGCTGACTGCCTCTGCTTTTCCCCTATAATCCAGGAGGTGTATTCCTGGGAGATGACAGTGATGTAATATTGTCATACTAGGACGCTTCACCTCCATTAATTCTAAGCAAAATAACTCCATACGCTCCACAATTCCACACAGCTCCATTCTCCAGGGAAGTTTTTCGAGATCCTAGTTTGATAAAACGGACATTGAACGTTTATACCATTCCCGTTTCTCCTTACATAATTAACATAAGGAGAAATTCAAATTTCCCTCCCCCATAGGTCTTCACCTTGAGAGTAGCAGGGTATTTTATATCTAGAACTTTTGAAGGTTGATCTGAATTTCACTTCAGTGATACGGACAATTAACCGCCAGAAACGACGAATGTGGAGCGCAGTTACTGAGAAGCTGTTGAAAATCCTCAACCCATTTTGTGAGACATTCGTTCCGTCATGTCAGTCAGACACCCATAGCATGTTAGATGAACATAGACCGAGTACTCTGTCTATTGGGCAACTGTTGAACTCGTTTTAGCGCTGTCCGTCATTTCCCTATCGAGCCAAAGTTCTTTGTTCCCCCTGTAGCTGTGGTTCACTGCACGATCATGATGGCGATTGGCTGCCATCGAGGATGCAGTAGGGTGTTCTACATACTCATTCTTGCCTGAATTTGCTGTTAGAGTGTTCTCCATAGCCCAGGGCAGCGTGGCTATCTTCCTCTTGACTCCAACTGCGATTATAAGTGAAGAAATGACGCCTTCTTTGAAGTCTTTGCACGCCTCATCATTTCGCGAGCGATGAGGGTGGCAAAGAATTAGTTCTTTCACCGGGGACTGAGGGTGGCACTGAATTAGTTCTCTGCTTCCATTCGGTAGGCTCTCCGTATCACCTCGTCATGCTTTAGCCAGAAGTTGGAGTGCTTTGACCAGACGACGTCAATTCGACAAGCCTAATTCTAAACGCAGTTCTGCTCCGACCGTATGATGATCGGACCCAGCGCTGTAGACATATCTGACGCGAGTCTCCAGTAACGAGCTGTGCGATTTGCAGCTGAGGAGGATGTGATCCAGTTGAAGTCTTATGCTTCAATCAGGGGGCTTCCAAGGTGGTTTGGTGAATCCGCTTATGAACGAATAGGTTTCGCCGACGATTAAGCAGTTGGTCGCGTATAAGTTTACTAGGCGGCTGCCGTTGTCGTTCTCCCTGTCAATACTCTGACGATCGAGGACCTTGGCCATGCTTTGTAATCGGTACCGATCTTTGCGCTGGAGTGGCCTTGGCAGTTGTGATTTGTTAATATCTGACTGCAAACAGTCCTTCTCCTCCTCCTCCTCCTCCTCATCATCATCATCATCATCATCACCATCTCCGTCTCTGTCACAGGAACCATTTATATCGGAATAGGCGACAGTGGCATTCAGTGTCGACGGTTTAACATTTAGTGACAAAGTACAGTTCCCTCTGGCATCTGCTGTACTGATATTACTGCGTGGCTTACCCTCGCGGACAAGAAGATAGTCACACAGGCCCAGCACAGTTTGCCTTGGCCTGACCTCTAAAACGACCATCAACCCTGCAAATAAAACTTCCCGTTCTCCGGGAGGCGAGCCTTCATGACCAAGAAACATGAATATGCCGGCTGACCGTACAACGGACGTCTCTAATTTATTTTCTTCAGGCAGGAAATGGACGTTCAAACATGCCACAATATTGAACTAATTTCTTGTAATATTGATCGCAGGTAGTACGGATTTCTTCGTTCCTAATTGCCGGTTAATTTGCAGGCTGAAACCTTTCGCTGTGCAACATATTTCTGAGAGATCAATAACTTTCGCCGCGGCTGGCTAGGAAATCAACCCGCAAACTCATTTGCAGTAAGGATCGGCATATTCTATGCCTTCTACGAACACAGTTTAATGCGGTCGACCGTCTGCGGTCAAACCAAGCCTGAGACCTCTTTGGTAAGGTCTTCCAGGAAGACTTTGTTGCGGTCCATGATTCGATCGAAGAGGTGTTTATGTTCTTAAAATCAACCGTCAGAATAGTCCACATTTCAGTCGTATTTATGGCGCCTGAATTTGCGGTGGATTTCCAGGTCCGAAACTTCCAGGATCTTTCCATGATTTCTGACTGTAACTGGATAGCGCCTGATCGAATTTGGCGCGATGTTTACCAGTTCCCTCAGGACGACAGACAGCGTAATTTTTGGGTTCGACTGACCATACGAGCACCTCGTTCGATATTCACAAGATGAACGAGGCAACTATTGCATTAGAGTGGTGCGTGATTTCAATCAGTCAACCACATCAGGGGTTGTCATCGTTTGGAGTGGACGGGCATCACATTCAGCGAGTTTCTGAACAATGTTCACATTCGTCCTTACTTTCTTGTTTGTCTGCACCATGTGTTGCCGAAAATTCAGTTCCAAGTTTAGCGTTACCCCAACATATCGTATCTTCTGTCAGTTGTCTGCTTGTTTCTTGAGATCATCACCTTGAACCGTTTTCGTAAGCAGAACGTCTCGGCTTGTGATGACCGTTGTATCCGTAGATTACAGCACTTTTGTTATAAGGCACAGGTTACGGCATGGCATATAGAAAGTCTTTTCTCCGAAGGCAATTCTGCCTCTACCTTGTGCTTCCAGTTTTGCATACTGATTTCCCGGTCGATGTCTGCCGGTTTTCAGCTCCCACATGAAGAGCTATTGGACAGTAGTAAATGATATATGTACAATCAGGTACCTAATAATACAAAATTCCTTTTCTTAATATCCACATCTGTCTAGGTTAGTTCTTGTCAGAGGGGAATACAGTTATTTCTTAAGTGGTCATGTCGTGTAACCCTCATTATGCGTGGAAGTCAACGCTGAGTTTTTGCTCCTTCGTTAGAACAACGGTCTCCTTGGCATACGACAACACTGATCTGACACAAGCAAGGCATATGCGGATTTTCGTTGTCGAGTAACTAATTTCTCAGCCCAAATATTGGCAGGTTTCCGAAAGCTCTAGAGGCTACGGCGACCAACTTATTTAACTCTGGCTGGACAGTGCCATCGCTGGAGATGACGGCGCTAAAATACTTTAAATGGTTAGCCTCCTGAAGGACTTCTCTTTGTTTGACTTGTAGATCAGCTGTGGAACAAGAATTCCTTAAAACATATGACTTCGGCCGGTTTCGCAGCTGCGTTGCATGCAGAAGGTGTCGAGTGAAAGCCCGCTTCCGTTCTACTCACTAGGACAATGATATCGGCGTACTCTTGGTCAACAAAATGTCTAGCCGGAGATCTTGCATTTCGCCTTTCTTCTAGAATGGGATTATCGCTTTCGCCGAGGTCAGCACTGTTTCAGAGAAAAAAGTCAAAACGAATTTTAAATAGCAGAGGTAAATGCGCGTCTCTCAGGAGAACTCCATGGTTAATAAGTAATCGTACAGATAGCTCTCCTTCAGTTTTGACAGCAGACATGATTCCTGCATACATCTCTTCCAAAGCGGAAACGCGCGTCGAGGTATCCCGTAGCACTTCAAATCTGTCCGCATCTTCACTCATTGTAATGAATCAAGCGCAGCCCTAAATTCGAGGAAAATGGCGAACCAAGGCAACTTGACATCGGTTATGATCAACGGCCCTATGCGAAGTGAAGTATTGTTGCGAAAAAAAGCATCCCTTAAGGAATCCTGCTTGATTTGGGCGATCTCTCATCAAATGTTTGCTTCAGCCTTTCCAAGATTACGAGATTATCCGGAAGAAAAGTTTACCGGAAGTTGAGAGTAGTGTCATACCTTGATAACTGAAACCCTCAGTCACCTGAACCCCTTTAAATAAAGGAATTTTGTTACTCCACGCTTCCATTCTCTTGGGAAAAGTTTGTACTTCCACATTTAATGAAACGGGATATGGAGCACTCCTACCATTTCCGTTCCTCCGTAC